AGAGAGAGAGAGAGAGAGAGAGAGAGAGAGCGCTCCAGGGAAAGATCCACGGACACATATCTGAGGAAACTAGCCCCTATGGCAATTCATTTTAAATGGCAAACTCATCTCTCCTGGCTCCTCGTGATTTAGCGGGTAAGAATTATAAAAGGTGGAAGCTTTCAAACCGCCATGGCTTTTTTGAAAAAAGATGGAATCATTTGCTTTTATAAATATTTGCGAGTCTGGAAATCCTATGAGGCAGTTCATGAGGTAGTTGTGCTCTGCACACCAGGGTTTCTAGAGTTTCAATCATCTAGGTGGGCAGTGGGTTTCCCCATGATCACCTACGGCCGGCTGGAATCTGGAGTATGAATAGAAATTGCTCGATAGGCACCCTTTACAGTCGTGGACAGAGCACTGCCATATTTGTTATTCCCTAGTAAGTCTCCCACAGCATATTCTCTCTCTCTCTCTCTCTCTCTCTCTCTCTCTCACACACACACACACACACACACACACACCCCAGAACAGCTCCCTGACCCATCATTCAGCACTTTATGGGTAGAACTATTTACATAAAGTTCATGATTCGGAGAGTCCGAATTCCCGTGTGTTTGAGGAGCGCAGCTGGACGTGAATCGCTGCCCTCCGCACCTAACAGGGAACCTGAAATGAAGCCTAGGAGCTCCAGGGTCTTTCTTTCGTGTGGCTTCTCCCCGTCTAGAAGCCAAGGTTGGCTGGACCCTGTGCATCGCCAGTGGTGGATGCATCAGCACTTGGCCAGTTCGGTCCTTGCTTTGGGTGACCCAGCCAGGCAGGAGAAGAGGAGGAGCCTCCAATGCGCTTAAAAACCACGTTCTGCCACTTGGGCGCACCGCCACCACGGAGGTGGGAGACTGTGGTCCTGAGATGCTGGGCTCATGTGCACAGGAACGAGCAGCTAGGGACTGTGGGGGGCCTTTCACATTTGAACTTTAGTCTGGCTTGAAAAGATATGAGCCGAAAGTAGTTCTGGGATGCGACATCAGCAACACCAAACTTCTCTTACAGACTTCCCGGGGTTGCTCAGGACAAGGAGACAAGTCAGGGGTCTACGCTCCCCTGTCCCCTTTAATAGACATTCAAGAGCCCCCTCCCCAGCTTCGACTTACCGACTTACCTTCTCCCGCAAGAACAAACAGCAAGCAGGGTGACTTTGCGCTTGGTCTTCTCCACAAGGCGACATAAGACCCTGCTTTAAAGGTGGCCCACGGAATTTTATACCTGCAGTGTTCTGACCGTCCCACCCACCTCCTTAGTTCATGGTCCTTAGGAATATGTATGTATTTAAAGTTAATATCTGGGGTTTGAACTAGAGGAGATAAACAAACTCCCATTTAATTGTGTTCACTCTCAGGCTCCGTTTTCGAGGTTGTTCTGCAATTGTACAGTTTAGTAAAGACACACGAGTGGTCTTCACCGGGAGGGACCCATTTCCACACAGATCGGGCAAAAAGCCTGCAGCCGGCGGGGGAGTGACCCGAGGGAGTCCAGCTGCGTGCTTTCCAGGATATCTTCTCCCAGCCTAGTGGCAAGAAGCTGCGCAGCAATCCCCAAAGAATGAGGTTCAAATTCACCAGCTGCTGCTCTCCGGAGCAAGATGCGTGATCTCCTCCTTCGAGATTCACAGCCTCTGAAAACCCAGCGGAGGTCAACGACGGGTCGGGTCCTACTCAGCGACACACAACAACAACAATGACAACTGGATCCCAAGGAAGGGACTGCAGAGTCCCTGGTACCACTGAGATTCTCAGGCCCTTGAACCTAACTCCATCTAAGCCTCTAGGACGCTAGCCCTCGGGCTATGGATGATCAGAAAGCAAAGGCTTCTTAAAGAGGAATGGAGGCTCCTCCCCTTTTCCTGGATGGCTCTTGAAAGCTTGCTTGTTGACTGCTGGCTGCTGTTTGTTGCAGACTGCTTGTTTGTTACTGACCGGTGCTTCCAGGAGCTGACATCTCGCCCTCCAGTGAGCACCACTTCTGTGGCAGGCTTAACTT